ACTTCTTTATACTCGAGAAAAATAAAGTTTTCGACGATTTTGCAAAAAGTTCGACTATTGTGCTAAAAAATGCCGAATCACACTTTTACAATCAGAGCTACATTTTCTGCTACTACATTTTCATCATTGCAATTATTTATTAAAAACCAAGTTTGATGTTTGTTTTCACTAATTAGGAAAACATTTATCAAGGCGGCATTGATATATTTCAAGCATTTTCTTAGATATGGGGGGTGGTCCACATTAGACGCATAGTCCACATTAGCCGAAGTTACTCTACATAGAACTACCAATTCTGAGTGATACAAGACAATATGATTATTTTGAAATAATTTCTTTTGAATTAATGTAAATTGTGCCCCATCGTTATATTTTGTTCACTACCTTTATATACGTCTTTGAGTATTTCGTACAAAAGACAAAAGGTAGTAGCAAAATCTAACGAGTAACTGTGTCAAAGCGCCGCTTTGTGACATCTTGGCTTTTAATTACACTCGTTCTTTGGTTCACGACCAAACAGCATACAGCCCTACACTACTGTAAAAAGGTAATATTAATTGTTTCACGAACAATTCAATAAAACAACCAAATCTACGTTTGGTAAAAAATTCTTAAACAATTGTGTTTTTATTTCTATATTTTCATATTTTGCATCAACGCAAACACAATATGTTTGCCAATAATTACGTATTTTTTAACAGCTCGACTTTTAATAGTGGACTTTAAACGAATTTTGAAACCTATAAGAACAAAATTGATGATAAGTCAATGTTTATGAACGTTCTCAAACGACAGAGAACACCGAGATTTATAAAAATCATAATACTAAAAAATTAACTCATCAATTTCTAAGAAAAAAAGGAAACAAAATCAATTCCAATGTACTCACTTTTGCACGCTTGAATCCGAATATTGTTAGTACTTATACCGAAGGCTTTAATTTTTTAAGGTTTCATTTATGAAATTTACAATACTACCAACTAATTTCAATAGAATATCATTTGGTATATTCTTCCATTTACATCAGATCAACTGTCAAAGATCGTCTATATTGCTAGAGGTTGATTGCTAGTGTCCCAAAATTATTATCAGGATGGATTTTGGGATTTTGTGTTGGCCACTGAGTTAATTGAAAATTTTGCTCACCAAAATATTCTCTCACGATTTTGGATGTGTGTTTGAAGTCTTGTCTTTTGTACTGCTGCTATAACAAATTTTAACAACCTGACTAACAGGTTGACGATTGATAATGAGGCCTATTTTGATGTTAAAACCTATCAATTTACATTTCCGTTATAACCAGACGTGGATCCACATTACACAGAAGCGTTTTACGACCTCTAGTTTGAGATTTGGGAAAAACGGAACACGAAGTGATCAATATAAAAAACATCCACTCGTTTCTTATCGACACTGTATGAAAAGGTACCCTCTCCGCAGACCCTCTCATTTCGCATTATTGAATGTTGTTGTGAGCCAGTTTTATTCATATAATGGTTTTAAGGTATGCGGTTAACTTTTATACCATTCATGAAATGTTTTGGTCCTATCGGGCCTAGGCAAGATTTAGAAAAAGAACGATATGTTGACATTATAGAACCCATTTCGGAATGGATTTAGATTTAGCACTGTTAAAGTTTTCAACCCTTTGGGGAGTTACCAGAAGGAGTCGACCGACAGGCTTCATCTTCGGATATCATCTAAATTTGGTAAGAAAAATTACTTTGCGCGATGTTGGGGTCAAATCGGATACATGTTCAAAAATGTTTACGCTTTATGGGGGAAATACTACAGGGAGTGTTTTCAAAGAAAGTTCGACAAATATATTACGATGTGCAGAGATTTGATCAAATCGGATAATCCGTTTGCATTATAAGATATTTATCTATTTTCAAAACATGGACCCTTTGTGGTACCAAAACCTTCGAACACGATATAGTTTTAGGAAAAAATTTTGGCTATGCAAAGTTTGAATCAAGCGGATTTGTTATACCCTTCACCACTCTGTGGTACAGGGTATTATGACTTTGTGCATATGTTTGTAACAGGCAAAAGGAAACGTGGTAGACACATGGTTCCTTTTGAGAATATGCATAGAATTACTTCCTGAGTCGATTTATGCATGTCCGTCCGTCTGTCCGTCTGTAGATGTTAAATTGTAAACAAAGTACAGGTCGGATTTATGAACCGATTTGAATAAAATTTGGCACAGGTCACTTATTTGGCCCAAGGACGAACCCTATTGAAATTGGGAAAAATCGTTTCAGATTTAGATATAGCTCCCATATATATATTTAACCGATTTAATGTAAACGGTCCCTATATATCTTTCGATTTGCACGAAATTTGGTACAGCTTAATCATTTAGGTCTAGAATGATGTCTGCCAACTTTCGAGAAAATCGGCCCAGATTTAGATATAGCTCCCATATATAGTTTCGTCCGATTTCATGTAAATGGTGCACCAAAGTCCCTATATATCTTTCGATTTGCACGAAATTTGGCATAACGTATTGAATTGAGCCTAGAATGATGTCTGCCAAGTTTCGGGAAAATCGGTCCAGATTTAGATATAGCTCCCATATATAGTTTCGTCCGATTTCATGTAAATGGTGCCCCAAAGTCCCTATATATCTTTCGATTTGCACGAAATTTGGCATAACGTACTGAATTGAGCCTAGAGTGATGTCTGCCTTTTTTTCGTGAAAATCCGTCCAGATTTAGATATAGCTCCCTTATATAGTATCGTCGGATTTCATATAAATGGTGCACCAAAGTCGCTAAATATCTTTCTATTTGCACGAAATTTGGCATAACGTACTGAATTGAGTCTAGAATGAATGTCTGCCAAGTTTCGAGAAAACTGGTCCAGATTTCTATATAGCTCCCATATATAGTTTCGTCCGATTTCATGTAAATGGTTCACCAAAGTCTCTATATATCTTCCGATTTGCACGAAATTTGGCATAACGTACTGAAAATCGGTCCAGATTTAGATATAGCTCCCTTTTATTATAGATTGATTATATGTAATTGACGCACCAAGGATCCAATAGGCTGATAGGAACAAATCGTTCTGAAATTAGTATAACCTAACCTGTGACAAGTTTGTTTGAAATCGCTTAATATTTGGATAGAGCTTCCTGTTTAATATACCCATAGTGGTGAAAGGTATCATATAGTCGGCCCCGTCCGACTTTACTGCTTTCCTTACTGGTTTTTCTTTGAAAAATGTTGTGAGGGAGGTTTTCTGATACGTTTTCGTACATGATTTATATTTGGAAGAAATATAACGATGTAACTTATTAATTTCAAATTTCAGGATTCCACCTCTATCGGTTCACACAAATCCAAATTGCACCAAATTTAGTACCATTTAGTACGAATATCCAAAACCCCAGTAATCTTTATTCCAAATTTCGGTTCACCTAATATTCAAATTATAGTAAACTTAGAACCATTTATTATCCATAATTCAGATTTTCCAAAACGTGATCCACACATACACTCCAACAGTTCCTCCAAACTAAAATTGTACCAAATTTTGTACTATGAAGTACTTCAGTACACAGTAGTACATTAGTACACACTTCCATAACCACCTCCTTAAATCGACCCTTCTTCTCAACGTTATTTCCCATACTATAATTTCAAGCTTATAGCACTATCCGTTCACATGCTACGAAATTGTAACAAATTTAGTACATTTTAGTATATTTCGAATACTTATACGCCGAAATTCCCAAAAAGTCTTTAAAAAATCTATCTTACTCTTCATCAGTGATCCTAATTTCAAATTTAAGAGCTCTAGTTCTACAAATGTGCCCTATTTTAGTGATCCTCACGCCAAATTTCAAGATTCTAGCTTCAGCCGTTTCCTGTGCGTTGATTAATCGTGAAGTCATTCAGTCACTCAGTGAGACAAACACTTTACTCCTTTATTAATATAAATAGAATTTGACCTCATGTCCTTTGTTTTTTTCCTAGTGAAAGGTTAAAGTAACCATATTTGAAATTTATAAATGTTTTGCTTTATACCTGATAGGGATATTTGGTTAAAAATAGGTTTCGAAGTGACAAATGTGGGCAACTCTCTAAATCTCTGCTATAAAGCTTTAGAAAGGAATTTTAACTTTAACGATCATACTTTTCTGTACACATTAGGAAATGGTGTAATGACTCAGCATACATGAAACTATTAAATTGGGTATCATAATTTGAGCACTTATACGACAAGCCGAATATATTTAGACTAGGTTAAATTTAGAATTTTTAGTAAAGTAGTGATTATTTGTCCCTAGTCAATTTTGAAAATGTTTGTGAACTTTCGTTTTCAGGTCGTTGTACTATCAAAAAAATATAAATTTCGTATATGTATTCTCATTCGAAACAAAATTAACATATTTTATTTCCGTTGTAAATAAATTGAATTAAATTTTTCATTTATCCTATTTAGCATACGATGCCAACAAATTATATGTACGAATCGAAATTCTCTTTTCTTTGCAATTGAGTGGTTTCTTTCATGGGCAAACGACTTAAATTCCGAAAAAAATGAATATTCAATTTCTTGGAATTCGGGGGAAAGCTTTCTATAGTATATGGTTCTAAAAAAAATTTTACAAAATTTCTCGATGCCATTCGGTGGATATCATTCATACGAAGTGCAAGTGGAATTGTCAACGTTTGTGACTTGTGCGTTTGGCACATTTTGTGTATTGTGTAATCATAATAAAAATAATAATAATATTTATATTGAATTTATTTATTTACATTTTTCGTGTAAATTTTACAGAGGTGTAAACGTGTAAGCACGTGTTCCAAATTTTTGTAAAAAATATATAAATTGCAGCATTTAGAATGTTTTATGTTATAAAATATTTATATGGTTTATTGGCCAAACTTTATGCCGATCATGCGGGTAGGTTAAATGACACATCAGCGGGTTTATGATGATTTTTATATTTACTTCGTTTTATTTTTATATTACAGATCCACGTGTTAAAGACCTACCTTTAATCTATTCACCATTGGCCCCGCTCTCCATTATAGCCTTGTATTTATTGTTTGTGCTAAAATATGGCCCGAAATGGATGGAAAAACGCCAACCATTCGAATTGAAAAATATAATGCGTATCTACAATGGCATACAAGTTATAGCCAACTTGATTTTATTTATTATCGTAAGTATTGAATTAAATGCGTCAGCGTTGTCTATTCGGACATGCTGTGTCATTGTTAACTCGTTTCTTTTTATTGTTACTTTTTGTGTTCTTCATATTTGCCAAAACAATCTAATTTGTCTAATGGATTTACATTTTTTCCTCTGTTTCATTTTATTTTGTGTGTGTTTTTTGCATGGTCAATGCACGTGGACAGGCCATTCCAAACTCATATGGTCATAAAAACTTTAGCTTTCGCTGCCAACCACCAGATCCAACAAATACCGAACCATGGATGATGCGCTGCCTTTATGTAACCTATGGCTATTATTTAACAAAGTATTTGGACCTTTTCGATACGGTACGTATGGAATTTATTTGTCAAGTAGTTTAAGGCATACGATATGCATTGGATTAAATTTACTACGTCGCAGACGATGTAAAATACTAGGAACACATTCCAAAGCGACACATTTTTGAAAACTTTGTTTGTAAAATCTGCAATTGATTTTCATTTAGAATAGGATTGCCTTGAACTAATGAAAAAATTTACATATCGTTTACGAGAACATGTAAACAATTACAAATTCCATATACAAAGAGTGAGCCCACAGCAAAAAAAAAAAAAAACAAAAACAAAAACAAAAACAAAAAAAATTACGTCAAAAACTTTTAAACTTTAAATTGTAGTTTGTAGTGAATTTTCTATGGGATCCAAAAACAAAACAAAAATACCAGAACTACGATACATTTTTCTGGATGTACGTAAATAATGAAAAGTCATTGTGTCAGGTGTGACCTAACATATTGTGATAAACTACTCACGATTAAACACTATGTTGCCTAAACGAGACATTCATCATATGATTAGGTTTGCCCAGGAAAAAAGGCGATAATTTTCTTCGAAGTTTTTCTTTTAAGAACAACGTTTTTTTCTATTAAGAACTTTCATAAAAACGTCTTTAACAACATTGTCAGATTTGTCCCAACATTTCATTCCGCTAATCGACATAGGCCATTTTTTAAGATTGTCAAATTGTGAAGGATCCAAGGAGCAAAGAGTTCAATAGTAACAAATTTATGCTAGTAGATGAAAAAACTGAATATCAATGAACTGAATATTCTTCAAGAATATTCTTAATGCATTAAAATCTCTATAATTCGGAGGGTTTGTATCTATTTGATTCTATAATCGGGAAGATAATTTATTTTTAAAGATTTTTTTTTTACTTTTACGGAAGTGAGCCAATTTGACTCATACCAGACAATTTAAGTTTTTTTTCGGGAAGAAAACTATTCCAATTCAATTTACATTTAAATAAAATATTCATTATCACAAAAAAAAAACTCATAGAAAACATTTTTAAATATAAACCCAATTTTTGTACACGCAGCCTTATGGCTTGGGGGGATCACACCCACTCTCGGTTTCAAAAAATGTAATTTTTTATTTTGTTTTAATTCGAACCTACACTAATGCAAGAATGTGCCTGTAAAATTTCAAGTGAAAATCTCAAAAATGTTTGAAGATATAGCCGACTTATTGCATAGCATCAAGTGACAGCAAGAGACCTTCTCAAAGTTTAAACGCGTTTTTCTCCAAACAGAGTTTTTGCGAATGGCGGGCACGACAACTCAAAAACTAATAACCCAATCGATTTCAAATTTTGGGACGTTTCTCTGTGAGTGTATAGCTATCGTATGAACTAGGATTAAGCCAATCGGGGAAGATCTTCCTTTTTTGTTAACTTAAAAAGGCTATTTTCCAAAAAAAAAAAAAAAAAAAAAAAAAAATGTTAAAGTTCCGCCATTTTGTAAATTGTTTTGCGAATTCAAAAATCCTAGTTCATACGAGAGCCAGACATGTACTCTTTCTAACACCGTTGGAATTTTCGGATTTCGATGTTCCCGTGAGGAGTTATCATGCCCGCCATCAAAAATAAGGACTTTTCTTTGATCACAAAAAACAACAACAAAAATTTGATGTATTTTTTTTCTTTTTAAATCTTCCAACTTACAAACCTTAACAAACTTTGGTATTCATTTACCAGCCCATTTAAAATCTTAAAAATAAAAAATCGAGAATGGGGGGGTTCCCTTAAGTGTCCGTCCTGCTTATAAATACTTGTCATTCTGGTTAGTGCGCACGATAACTCTTGAAAAGAGTAGCAGTTTTAATCCAATTTATTCCAAACCAAAATCATGTTCGAAGATGTAGAATATCAGACAACTCTTTCTAGTACTTCCCCTACAAGTGGTCAAAATTTTGCTGAAAAATAAATGTTTAATAACCAGCGAAAGTATAATCCGTTTGGGTCAAAACTTTTGCATAACCTAATATTTTTACTAAAACTATATCGAGTTCGAAGGTGGAAAATATTGGTCACCTCCTTCGAACGGAGTATCCGATTTGGTAAAACTTTCGTACATTGTAAAATCTTTGTTGAACTTATTTTGAATCTGAAAAGGGGATCTAATGGCCCACTCCCTGTACGAGAGCAGTTCGGAAAGTTCTTAGCCTAGCACAAAAGGACGGTGTAGACTGAAAAAATAGGTGTTTTGGAAACTTTCATTTCTGTTATGAATACATGTTAAAAAAGACACTTCCGCATTTGTTTACAATAAAAGCACACATTTCTAATTTTTCTATTGTAAAATATTGCGGATGCGTCTTTTTTGAACATCTTTTTCTATATGAAGGAGTTGTCAGATCGAAAAAAAATTTAACATGTGTTTTCTTTTTTATGTCTATACCGCGCTTTCTGTGCTTGGCTAAGAACTTTCCGAACTGCCCTCGTAGTGTCTCCTCCATAAAGAGTCAACATTTTTAAACATTTGTAAGTCTAATACGAAACATATTGTGCATCCGATTTGACCCATATCAAAAGATGCAGCCTATCGGTCCATTCCTTCAAGTAACGCGCCAAAGTGTTTAAAACCGTAATAATGAAAATATTGATCCATACCGAAAATGCGTTCTGTTGATCAACTTCCCCAGGTATCTCGACTTTTTCTCAATTTTTATTTCTTACTTTCATAGCCGATGTGTTGCGTATAGACCGCATTTTCGGATTTATTGTAGGTTTGACAAAATTGAATCACGTCGGTTTAAAACGTTGGCTCTTTGTGGGGGACTTGATCTACGTAAGGTAACCATATCACGATGTGTAAAATTTCGATGTAATTGGATATTCCGTTCGCTTCATTTGTGCTGTACAAAATTTTGACACTTTGTGGGGGAGGTGATAGTAGGAGTTTACCATCTCATCTTCCAACATTATATAGGCATAGTTAAAATATTAGTTATGCAAAGTTATTATTCAAATCGTCCGTACGCATGGTAAATTAATTTTCATCAAAATTTTTGTGTGGTACCTGAAGTTTCCATCCTTCAGGTACCATCCTTCAGACGCGTCCGATCTTCAGACTTGCTTTATGTATGAAAGAAATATTACGATGTGTACATTTTGTATGATATCGGACATTTCATACTATTGTTATTGCATAAAACGTTTTCAAAATGTTGACCCTTTGTAGAGCAGATGATAGAAGGAATGGACCGATGAGTCCCATCTTCGGATTCGATCTAGGCTATGTAAAAATATTATAATGTGTAAAGTTTGGACGATATTAGGATATTCCGTTCTCTTCATAAAAAAATTACAAATTTTCAACATTTTGGCCCTTTCTTGGAGAGCTACTAGAAGAAGTAGGTCGATAAGTCCCAACATTATACATGTTTGGTTAAAGTGTTTGTTGCGCTAAGTTTCGTTTAATCCAGATGCAATTTTTACAATTTTCTGAAGGAATGGATCGATTCGTTCCAACTTTGAACATGATTTAAGTTTGGAAAAAATATTACGATATGCAAAGTTTAGAAATAATCGGTTACTTCCTTAGAGAGTTATCATGCGCACCAGCCACACGGACGGACGGACATTTATAAATCAACTCTAAGTTGTCTGAAACGGATTTGCTGCAAACAATCATGGGGTATAATACCAATATTTCGTTTAGGGACATTATTGGAGTTGCAAAGTGTATATGTCCTCATAAGTCATTAGACTGAGCGTATAATGAACAAATGCCGGATCGGTACATGCAAATTGTCTGCTAGTAGGTTATTTGTACCCTTAGACAATTAAATATTAAATTACAGATGCCACGGTTGGAAACATAGGCTAGGAACTTAAAATAGCAAATATTAGGCAGGACATAAGTATTTACTTAAGTAACAACCTGGAACGCCAAATTACAGATTTTTCATTTGGAAATTTTTGATAATTTTCTGCAAAGCCAAATTATAGCTTTCGGCCTTAATTTTCATAATGGGATGGGAACTTTATATGGAGGTTCTGTCAGAACTTGGAATTATAAAGAAATGTTTTTGCACTATAATAATCATGGAACTATAATAATCATTTTTTACGTAGATGTATGCAAGCCTTTGAAACCCCGAAATGCAAAATTATACCCTTTTCGGCTGGAACTTTATTGTATTGTGTGCTAGCAGGTTCTTAATGGTCTGAAAAGATATTGTTGCGAATAACACTCGGGATGGAAAACTAAACTAAATAAATTATAAAAAAATGGGGAGCTATTTCAAATTATGAACTTATTTTCAAAATGTTCTGCAAATATGTTTTTCATCCTCCAAGATTTCCCATTGTCATATGACTGTCACTTTGGTGGGAAATTGCGACCAAGACCTTCCGACAAATATAGCTACAAGGACATATTGGCATATTTATATGTATACTTTATGGACCTCCGGTAAACATTTCCATGAACGAACGGAACGACAAATTTAAGATGTTGGAGGTTATATAAATCGAGCTCCACTATATCTAGAATATGTTTTTGCTCCTGGCTCTATTAATGTACACATAGCCATGTACGTTTGGTAGTTTAAGGGAACCTCCCCCATTCTCGATTTTAAATTTTCAAGATTTTCATTTTTGGTAATTAAAGAAATGTCCTTTTGATGGCGGGCATAATAACTCCTCACTGGAAAATATCGGAATCAGGAAATGCCAAGGAAGTTAGAAAGAGTACTTGTTTATCTCAACATGGAACTCAAACATGAAATGAACTTAATTAAGTCAAATTTTTAATTTATTGTACACGTTTAGAAACACCTCCTTAAAACAACTTGACACACCATCATATATCGCCATACGAATTTGTTCTTCCATTACCAACTTTCGCACATTTAGTACATTTTTTTTTAATTTTTAAATAATTATAATTAAATTTTTTGAATTTACAGATATTTATTGTGCTGCGTAAAAAGACTCAACAGGTGACATTCCTGCATGTCTATCATCATGCCGGTATGGTGTTTGGAGTTTATATTTATACAACATTTTTGCCAGGTATGTTTGTGTTGCACTTTTGATTGCACGAAAATATTAAAATCTGTTGTTTTCTTCTTTATTTATTTATTTGTGTTTTAGGAAGCCACTCAACAATGTTGGGTGTCATAAATCTGCTCGTACACACGGTGATGTATTCGTATTATTTCATTGCCTCGATACGACCCACGACACAGACACTATGGTGGAAGCGGCACATTACACAATTACAGTTGGCACAATTCGCCTATTTGGTATTCCACTTTTTGCAAGTTCTTGTCAACAATACCTGCGATCATCCGTTTCTAGTGGCGTTGGTTGGATTTATTCAGAATATCTTTATGTTTGCACTATTCTTTGAATTCTATTACAGAGCATACATGAAAAAGGATAAGAGCAGGAGGAAGGAGGCTAAAATAGCAAACGATATGGGCGTAAATGAGAATAAATTGAAAGCTAGTTAGAAACTAGTTTGCAATTTTCTTTTACCTATTAAGAATTACCTATTCTTAAGATTATATACAAAAAATAAAATAAAAATGTACTTTTATTTTGAAAATAATGTTTTGTAATATAAATGGAAACAATCGATTAAATTGATGGCGATTATTTTTATGAAGCTAGATTATTAAGAAAAGGTCATTGACTTGACTGACTGGCTTCACGATTAATCAAAGCCCAGACGAAACGCCTGAAGCTAGAATATTTTGGGTGAGGGTCACTCTTGGTCCAAAGGTGACAGATATGGCTGGGTTTTTGTAAATTCGAACCGGTTGAGCTAGAACTCTTAATTTTGAAATGAGGGCCACTGATGGAGTGTAGAATAAATATAGCAAAGGATTTTTTTGGACATTCGAAGTATAAGTATTGGAAAAGTACTAAAATGTACTAAATTTGGTACAATTTCTTGTGGATGGATGCAGCTAAAAATTTGAAATGTGAATTTAAGAAGGTTGAGAAGGTGGATCGATTTGGAAATTGTTTACTTATCTGTACGAAATGTACTAAATCGTACTATAATTACAATAATTTGAATTTGGGTGAACCGATAGAGCTGGGAACCTGGAATTTGGAGGATAATTGTTGGGGTGTAGGATTGGTGTATGTAGGAAATTCGTACCAATTTGTTCTATATGGTACCAAATTTTGATTTAGGTGAACCGATGAGCTGGAATCATGACATTGGGATTTAAGATCATTGTTGGGGGGTATTTAGTGAGTTTTGAAAATTCCTACTAATGTGAACTAAATTTGGTACAATTAAAATTAAATAATGGCGAAACGATTGAGCTGAAATTTGAAAATAGGGTTTATGTTGGTGTAGGATTGGGGTATGGATCAAGCATTGGAAATTCTTAATTATGGGTACTAAATTTGGTACCCTGAAATTTGGAGATTGGGCTATTGAGAAAGTTTCGGAAATTCGTGAAATAATATCTTTTGCCCCACCGTCGGAAAATTCAGCCTTCATTAAGAAACATCCGATAACCGAAGGTTTTGGTGCAGGCACATTCTCCTGTAGAGATGAAGAAAGAAATCTGGTGACAGATAGAGACAGCGTGTTGAGGATCTGGAAGTAGCACTTTTGAAAAACTTCTGATAGCAAATAGTGGCAGTGAAGAAGATACCCCAGATACCTAGCCAAGATGAGGTCTTAAAAGCAATTAATCGGCTCAAGAACAATAAAGCATCAGGGTTACCAGCCGAACTATTCAAAACTGGTGGTTAGATGCTGGTCAGGAGAATGCACCAGCTGATTAGTACAATTTGGCTAGAGGAATGCATGCCCAATAATTGGAACCTTAGCGACGATATGTGTCAACTATTAAGGAATAAGTCTCCTTCCCATCGCATATAATGTGCTATCCATCATGCTGTGTTAACGACTGAAGCCAATGGTCAATGACATTATTGGACCCTACCAATGCGGCTTCAGACCTGGCAAATCCACCGTTGACCAGATTTTCACTCTGCGCCAATCCTGGAAAAGACCCACGAAAAACTCATCGACACACCACTTATTTGTCGACTATAAATCCGCAATTGACAGCCCTATCCGTTCAGTGGTGTTTAAAGCCATGTCTACGTTCGGCATTCCTGAAAAATTAATACGGCTATGCAGGATATGCAGAGGTGACAGTTTGTCGTGTGATCTTTTTAACATCCTGCTGGAAAAGGTCATACGAGACGCAAAGGTGAACAGAAACTCTGTACACCAAAGAACACATGTTACTCGTCCACGCCGATGACATCGACATAATGGGTCGAACTTTGAGAGCGGTAACAGCCACCTTTGAACAAATTGGGAAGGAGTCTGCCACAGTGGGCCTGGCAGTAAACGGCGAGAAGACCAAGCTGATGGTATCAACGCGAACTTGAGAACTACAGCTTCGAGATAGCTAACGATTTTATATACCTTGGTACCGCCATAAAAAAAAAGAATGACATCAATTTCGAAATTCGAAGAAGGATTGTTATGGCCAACAGATGCTACTATGGTCTAAGTAAGCATTTTAGAAACAAGGCCACCTCCCGCCAGACCAAACTCACACTTTACAAGACGTTGCTACTACCAGTGCTGTTATATGGATCTGAAGAATGGGTACTTGCGCAAACAGATGAGGCAGCTCTTGGGGTGTTTGAAAGAAAAATTTTCCGAATGATATTCGGGCCGATCTGCGTTTGCGGTGAATATCGGCGTCTAATGAACCACGAGCTTTACAATTTATACGCGGACATCGACATAGTCAGTCGGATTGAGCTGCAGCGACTACGATCGCTAGGCCATGTTTTGCGAATGAATGATAACGCCCCAGCTCAAAAGGCATATAAATGTGAGCATACTGATGGTTCCCGTAGAAGGGGAAGGTCACGAATCAGATTGAAAGGCCAAGTAGAAAACAACATCTTGGAACGTGGTCTTTCAAATTGGAGGAAATGACGCGCTTGGAAATCTTTTTTAAGCGTATGGAACAACCGTTCTGTAACAAGCCAGCTAAATAAGTAAGTTACTGTTGGAGTGTGGGATTGGTGTATGGATGTAGTTTTGGAAGAATGGGTACTACTCTTACTATATGGGAGCTATATCTAAATTTGAACAGATTTTGCCCTTGGGCCAAATAAGTGACATGTGCCAAATTTCATCCAAATCGGATCATAAGTGCGACCTGTACTTTGCTCACATAATACAAAGTGGTTCTATGCATATTTTCAAAAGTAACTATGGGTCTGTATCCATTACTTTTGCCTGTTACAAACATATGCACAAAGACATAATACCATGTACCACACAGTGGTGAAGGGTATAATTATTACGGTAAATTATAAATTGACACTTGCAAAGTAACATAAACCAATACGAGGAAAAGTGTTCGAATGGCTATTTATGATGATCGTTAACGATAACAAGAGTAATAATTGTTATGTTTACTATTTTTATAGTGAATACATATTCCAATTTCGTTGAAATATCTTAGCCAGAACAATTTGTATTGTGGTTTTAGTAGAAAATGTATCAAAATACGCACACTTTTGCATGCCACTGTATATTATTTTATCATTCTCATCATATTTATCCTTCGGTAATTTACAGCATTCTGAATAATGTTCAAATAATGTTTTTGATTTGTTTCATTTTTCCCTGCCTGTCCTTCATATTGGGCCAACAGTGCCGTATTGATAGTCTATAAACTCAAAATAAGTTTCACTAAAATATTTACCAATCATATGCACTTTTCCCATGAATGAATTATGCTTGCGTATATTAATCCAAGGAACAATGTTTGAAATCTTATTCCAATTTCATAATATTAAATAATATTTCTTAAGCCTAATATTTGAATTGTACTACACATAACACACATACATACCCCTACATAATAATGTATGCACATACTAAACGAAAAGCAAGCAAATGTATTTAACAAATATCCGATTATTGATTGTTTATCTATTTGTAAACGATTTTCTTTCTATACATAATTAATAAGCCTCAAAAATATTCTAAGTTATTTTCTGAATCGGAATAATTTGTTTACTGGTTTGATAGAATTGAAAGGTATTTTGTCGACAATAGCTAGGCATTAGTTCCACTTGAATGTGTTTCTGGTAAGAATAAAGACAAAAACAACAATAAAAAAGGTAGCACAACAAACAAATGCTACAATTCCATCATCAACTAACCCGGTTAATGTCAACACAGCACATTAAGATTCATGTGTTGACTGATTCATATATGTCTCTACGTTGGACTACCACTTATGCTGGCTATTAATTTTAATTAGTAAAATATATTTAATGCATGAAGGTTAGGAGGAGGAGGAGGAGATGGGCGAGAAGTAGCAGAGGATATACTCTTTCACAGATATTTGATTTTGTAATATTTACACTGTTGTAATCTTAATTGAGTTAATTCTGTTAATACACATCAATATTTGCACAAGAGATTTTATAATAATGAATTGATGCGTTTGCTGTTGTTGCTGCCGCTGCTGTTTTGTTAAATTGCCCATTGAAGCATAAAGTGATTTATTTGCTAATTTGTTTAAATATTAGATGGGTATGTGTAGCTAACAGGGCTATTATAGGAAGAACATCTACAAAATCAGATGACCTAGATAAGTTGTTGTCAGACGAATAGAAAAGGATGGTTTTGTTTTAGTAATGGATATCGTATTGAAATGCTGATTTTTGAATCCACAAATCATTTGTTCTAACTCAATGTACATTTACATATGCTCATTGTTTGATAGCTTATATATTGATATTTAACTAAATAGTGGAATAATTAATTAAATGTAAAAATAAATAAACTACAATGTTGGCATATATTTGTATTCGAATGGATGTTGTATTGCAATGTGTGGTATAGACTTGAATTTGAATCTATAATTTCATATAGTATATAGGGTTAGCTTGAGATGAGTATACATGGTACTATCATATTCCCTATGAGAAGAATGTGAGCATAGTACTATAAGTTGAAATAATTTTCTCTTGATCATAACAAACTTGTAGCTTTATGTTTTTGGTATACCATACGTATAGGCATTCAATGGTTTTAGTGAATTCTTATAGCCTCCACCATATTATGGAGTGTACATTAAATTTGGCATTTCATTTGTAATACATTTAAATAAATTGGATTGGAATTGGGCAAGGAATATTACTGACGCCGCTCACATGAAAATCTTCAGCGACATCAAGTAAGTCAAACTGTAAAATATGGCGGGTGGAGTTACATTTTCAACAAGAGTCGACGATTTTTAAAAAATATATTTTAAGAACTTTCCAAGAGGTATGGATGTTAAAGTATATCGTCATCATAAATGCAAACGGACGTAACTATAGAAAATTCGAAATTGACTTTTTGTTTGATTATTGTCCGTCTAATCAAACTACATGTTCATTTAGACAACTAACGTGAAAAACAGCGATCTAATTGTATAAATTCAAACGTACGTAA